TATCTATAATAGGAATAGCTGATCGGGCCAAACATTTGGGTTGAGCAAACTCAGGAAAGAGATAGTCTGCCGAATAAAATATTGACTTAATAAAGCTGGCTTAGAATCAGCAAGGAGCTGAAATATTGACTTAATAAAGCTGGCTTAGTTCTAATCAAACGCATAAAAAATAAACATGCTAGTTGTATTTCCAACTTCAAAAACGCAAGCTCCCAACAAGAATCAGCAAGGAGCTGCCAAGGAAATAAAAGAAAAGGTAATTGTTGGTAAAATAGATCTAGAGTACTTTAATTTTGCATTACTATGCTTGAAATGACTGGCTAAGAAATCGTGTTTCTCTTCGTTAATTTCGGCAATATGTCATTAGGTACGTCATCGAGACCTGATTTCAGGCAATTTCCTACCCGCTTGATTTTCTCCACACCGTCCTTCATGGTTGTATAGTGCGACTGCTTGTGGGAGTAGAATAGAACATTTATTTTAAAAATGTCAAATTATTTTGCCCAAACAGGACTAATTAGGGACACTAAATAAACTAGATTAATAAAATGCTAAAAATAAACCTGCAAAAATAAAATTCTAAAATTCTGCAAAAGTGGACATGTTAATACAATATTAAAACACTAGAAAGTTTCCAACAGTTACTGCCATAAAAAATATAATAAGAAATGTTGAGTTTTCCAATTTTGTTCCTAAACGTAGCTAAAGTTTGGGACTCGCGTTGGTTTTTGGTCTTTTTGCTCAGTTTGGACCAATGTTTTGCAATGCAATTGGAAGTGAGTACGTGCGTCATAGAAACGAACAGTTTGGAAACGTCAATATCTGGTACCAGTCCATTCTTGGCTTTATAGATCTTTATACCTATTCTCAAGAACAACTAATTTTATCTTATTTCAGTTTTTGAATACTCTTTTAAGGCAGCAACTACAAACCTCTCTGCCAAACTGCAATGTCCTTAAGTCATGATTCAGTCCAAGGAACGAACGAACGCGTCAGTCTGTTTACATGATCCACAATGTATGAGATGTGCTAAAATAAAAGCCTGTCGGTTTTCTTCACCATGCAGTTCGTTCTTAGCTTTTCTGGTTGATCCCAGCCTTATTAAAAGATTCTGAAAAAGTCACCTACTTTATATGATTTTTAAATTACAAGGGATTTTTAAGAAACACAGGACCGCTGTGTCATGCGGTGATTGCATTATGACGTCATACGCTGGGGGTTTCCCTCCGCCTCGTTTTGCGTTGGCTAAATTTAAACACCCGTAATGATATTCTCCTATATTTCAGACACATGTAACTTACCTTGAGAAAAACTAGCTAACTGTTAAAGCCAATCGTAGTGGCATTCCAAATAAATTGTGGTGTTTTATGAACCATGTTTCTGTCGTTGTAGTCAATAGTAAAGGCTGCAACCAACTTAAATGAATGGAGTCAGTTCGATCCTTTGCTTCATGCGAGAAGGATGACGAACTGTTTCGATTGGCAACTCAAATGTTTCGACAATCAATAAGGGAAATTCTCGGGGGAAAATCCATCTGCTACTGAACTGTGGCCGGACTTAAACAAACCGTTAAAGCCGCGTAAAAGAGCGATGAATGAGCGCCGTTTCAGCAGTGGGGGAGGAGCGGGATTGTCACGTATTTATTAAATATTTAGTTGCCCTGTAGATTTTCATAGTAAGTTTAAATGCTCCCAAACAGATCTGGAAGCGTATAGAGGTCAATGAAGATTTTACCGTGAGTAGAATTATAATTTCTAACTTGTTTTGTGTAGTGCTAGTTAATATGATCCCTTTCCACAGACTGTACCTGTAAAACACCTGTCACATAATGGCACTATACCGTATATGTATAGGGTATACCATAACAACGAGTTGAATTATACATGGTATAAGCTATAATGTTCGTCATCTTGTAATTTTAATATGCGATATGGAGCATCAAAAGTTGTCAGTGATGACGGAAATTTGCAGACGAGTCGAGTCACGCTTTACCCTTTGTCCCGGTTTCTCTTGCTCGACTCAGTCGACTGTACCATGACGAACGCCGGGAACAGATAAACTCTTTGAAATGTGGAAATACTAGTTAAAGACGCGACTGCAGTTAGTTCTACTACACATTACAACCGGCCTCTATGGACTCCATTTTCATTTTCGTCTGCGGACTCTGTCTTCATTACGTCATACATATCTTTTTAGTTAATAACATAATTAGTTTCGTAAACTGGTCAGCAATATACTAACAATTGTTTTGCATCACTGTCATACGTCTTGGGAGTGAACTTACAACAAACACATTACGTCACTTGCATCTTTTTAGTTAATAACGTAACAGATTTAATTAGTTAAGGAAACTGGTCAGCAATTTACCAACCGAACAATTTTGTATCACTGACTAACATACGTCTTGGGAGTGAACTTACAACAAACGCATTTATTTCAAACCCATTTATTTCAAATGTCTCAGTGTTTTCTTTATATATTGCCTTTCCTTTAGAAGGAACTCTACCTTGAATTTCTACTCAAGTGCGCCATGCTTTTATCATGCGGAATTGCCTTAGCTTCGGTGGATCGAATTAAACTTAATTGAAAACATAACATAAGGAGGCAAAAGTGGTGTATTTTACATTAGAGCCACGAGCAAAAATCGTTTATCAATAGTTCCAGGCTGTAATGAATAAAAGTACTACATTATATAGCCCCAAGTAATTCCCGAACAGTTTTCCACAGTTACCCTAATCCGCGGTTCTTATTTTACATAAATGATAATTTACACATATTTAGCAGCTATTTATATTCTCTGAAGAAAACAATTATAGTTAATAAGAGAAAGTTAATGCTAGCTATTTAAGTCAGCCAGTTCCTTAAACAATATCTGCATGCATGCCAAAAATAAGTAGTTATGTAAAAATGGCTATACAAAGAAGAATTAAGGATGATCACAATTATTTGCCCATATGCGCTGGGTTAGATTTTAGAAACTGATAAGAACCTATTGTAAATTCCAGGCTTAACAGGTTCTTGAAAAGAGGAGTCAAACTGGGAAATTTAGCTTTTCAACTGCTGGTTGACACTTGTGCTCAACGTTGCTAATACGAGGGAGTTCACATTAAAGCAAGGATACGTTAAAAAATACTGTTACTTAATGATAAAAATACAAAAATAGCAGACCACAATAACATCCGGTAAATTTGTTCCTTTCTATTATCATTTATCTTTCTTTAGCCTCATTATGCCCGGATACAATTTATCTGCAACGGACCGATCAGTAATGTAATGTGATGTAATGTAAGCGAATCGCCTTTAGTTAGTAATAGGAGAGAGTTAGGCAGAGGAGAAGAATTTTTGCCCAGAGGGTTAACTTGACCACGACTTGGAATTTTCAAGTGAAGTCTTGCATGAAAAGAGTGAGTTGCATACAACCTTTTTCAGGGGTTTTAACTGTTTTCTGGCTTTTTCACAGACTGGTCAATAAATCCTTCCACAGGTTTTTTCACGTTCTACTTAATTCTTTTTCTAATTTCCCGTTTTTTTTCTAAGACACAAGTTAGAAACATTTAAGAGAGGGTCCTCTCTTGGGAAAAATCCATCGACACTACCAGAAAAAGAGTTTCAAAATTAGTAAACCTATCTAAGATACTCACTTTTAACTGACTAGCAGAACAAAAGAACAACAATCTTATTTTGGAGAAAGTCGACTTTTTAAGTGTGCACGGCAATCATTCTTAGTTTAGATTTAAATTTATTCTTTTTTCTTTTTCCTAACAACAAAACTTTGGCAGCAGTGTTTTTTAACCGATGAGGAGATGAATCACGAATTTTATCAAAATTTAAACACCGAATCCGCCACCAAATTGAGTCAAACAAAAATAACTGCACAAAAACTTATTAATAAAAGAAAGTCTAAATATAAGAACAAATACAAAGGAGACACAGATGGACAAACTTGGAAAGAATTGAAACAGGGATTGCAATCGTGGTTTTTGAATTTACGTGTTAGCCTAGCAGTTTTTCGAAGTTTATTGTAAGTTATGGTTTGTAACGTTTGATAGGCTTGGGAGACACATTGTTGGACACGAAGCTGTGGTTTTCATGAAATCATTTTCGAAATGACCCAGACGGGCGTGACAGAGCCCCTTCAATCTCTTTGGTGACGTAGTTGGGTTAGGCTGGTTTGAAAATAAGTTGTAAATTGGTACTTGAGAGTTGACAACACATATTAAAGTCATAGCAATAAAATGTACTTAAGAATTTCTACTTGAGCTTTAAACATTTTGTCACGTCTTGTCCAAAATTTCTAAGTGTAGACAATGGAAAATTTTCAGTCGACTTGCTTGTCTACCCTTGAAGAAGACGGGTACCTGCCTCACTACAAACATTCCAATCTCGACAGTAAAACGCGCAAAGATATAGCGTCGAAGGGGCTTTCCGAAACATAACGAGACAACGAGAGGAAGGAGAACAATTTGCTGTAAAAGGCCTTTTTTGCATAGTGACGTAATTCAGTACAATTTCAAAATAAAAATGTTTCCTTCTTCTAAAATTTCAGTTTCAAGACATGTTACAGCATATTCACATTGTCTTTTCACAAATTTCGATTGCTTGAACTTAAAAAAAATTGTGGTGCTGGTGAGAACGGCAGAGCTTTTTAAGCTCTTTTTCTTCGACTTGATATCCGTCGCGGTTTTCCTGGACTAAGTAATCTTGTGCCACACAGTAAGGCGGGTAGGTAAACGTCGGCAAAAGTAACATGCCTCCAAAGTAAAAAAAAAGAAAAACAGAGATAATCTTTGTCTAACTGTCTTGCTGCTATAACTCAGGTATTTGTTTAAGTGACCCTATGTTATGTCTTTTGTAATCGGCAAATAGTTGATCTGCCGGCTGGACACAGTTTATTACAACAATTTACTTGACCAATTTTGCTTGCTGTTCGATTTGTTTGTTCCAGTAACTTCAACATGTTATGTTGTTTGTTTGTTTTTGCATCTACTTTTAGGCCTACAATGCCTGGATATGAGTTATCTTCGGCGGACCGATCAGTTATCGACAAAAAGAATTTATGTCCTAAATGTGAGGGTCTCCTTAGAGAAGCTGTGCAAACAATAGCGTGTGGACATAGATACTGCAAAACATGCGTGGAAACGATTCTTTGGTAAGCACGTCAGGTCCTTGGTATAGGGACTTCAAGCAACGACTACTATACTGAAGTTTCTGGTACTGTGACCTGAAGTCATTTTTCCCTCCACGCGTCAATGCCTCTCGACAGCAGTGCAAAGTTGTTGATTTGCTAATTAAACCTGATCAGATCTAACCGTACCACGCTCCCCGAATACGTTGGAGATCATGGTGGGCCGTAGTGTGAAGTACATATTCATTTAGCTGCATTTTCATGCTTAGTGCTCCAGTGCTTAAAACAGAATTGCACGACTTACGCATTTTATAATTTTTTTTGTTATCCTTGGTAACTTTTGAAGGCTTAGTTTACGATTATAATCCCCAAATTCGGTGTCAGGCACGACATCCAATTCGCAAATGAAAAATACAGCCATAAATACACAAAATAACAAAATATAGTAGACGGTTAAGAGGATACACTTCAGGACTTCAGTAAGTGTTGTGGGTAACCGAGGGCTAATAAAACACAAGGAAACCTTGAAAACTTTTGCACAACTTGCATAATACATTTCTTTGCCGCCGGGGGTTACTACACGACTTCAGCTTCAGGAGAGTTCGTCTACATTTGAAAAGTAAACGAGCTGGAATGATCGCGATAAAGACTCAGAAAGTAATGTGAATTCAATTTTTAAGCGTCGTTTTCCCCGCTATCGCAGTCGTAGTATCTGTAACTCGCTACTTGAGGCATATTTGACGCCTACCTGGAAAAAAATTACTTCCGGTTACCGTGCTATACGCTCCGGTAGTCATTACTTAAAATTCCTAATTGTCTTAGGCAGTTGAAATATGTTACTTCCTAACGTAAGTAGATTTAAATACTGTAGATTAATATGACTGATATAATGCGCATAATTACAAATGTTGTAGACTGCGTGGCTAATGTAGTGCTGATAAATGGTAATTATACTTCAAGCCCAGGTTATTCAAAAGGTGCATAATGCTATCCAGTGGATAAATCACTTTCCAGTGGAGAAAGCAATTTAGTTTCTTTAATACTTATCTACTGGATGGTGATCTATCCGGTGGATAGCGCTATCCAACGTTTGATGAACTTGGGCCAGGTGAAAATGAATTTACTACTGAACAGTTGACTGGCCAACCAAAAATCGGATAACTATCCGATAATCATGTATTCTTCGTATTACTGGTTGATACACTGTGATCCCTGTCCCTACTAAATTTACAGGCAAGAAGTTGGAAAGTGTATCATCGATGGATCAGATATTCATAGAGAACAGGTAATTGCCTTTTTTTTCGATCATGAGATTTGTCCTTACTGAAAGATCCTGAATACATACTACGACGGTCTGAAACAAGGCACACTTCCGTTTTAGTTTAGCCTGGATAACAGGCACTTTATGAGGCAAGCGAGGCGAAAGTGGCATTTCTTATGCGGGTTTTTTAATTAATCTGAGTACGTATAAAGTGTTTTCACTCACGTGGTCAGCGTCTATGCAAATTTATTGGAACAAAAGAAAGCGTTTGCATAAAATGAAAGGAGTTCAACTCCCACAGGCCTGGTTTGGGACATCAACACCCACCAACATGGCCGCCGTTTCATTGTTTGGCCGCCATGACGTCATGTGAAAACACTCTATATATTAACCGCGCGCTACCCGATTATCATGCTGCATCCTCATCCCCATTTCGATCCATTTAGATTAGCTCAGTCGGAAGAGCGCTGGAATTCTGAGCGGGAGGAATCGTCAGATCATGTCTCAGTTGGGGTAATCACGTCACTTGGCGATGACATCCTTCTCTCTCAGGAGACGCAATACCACTCTCTTGTTCGAAAAGAATAGGGGAAGTCTCTCCGTTGGTGTGGTCCACCTCCACCTCTACCATCACATCACTCCAGTCGCCATATATATCAGACATAAAGCTCATAAATGGACCGAAAGCGGACGTCAGTGGTGCCATTTTACCGCTGACGTCCTATTGCATTGTTAATAGAGAGATTCAAAATCACGTTTACCGCAAACGGCAAAATGCCAATTTGAACAACGTGACCATTGACCATTTCTCATTTTCTAATTTAAGAAATTTTCAACTTGAATCTGAGGTTTAAGGTTTGTCGTTAACTTGCTTCTAATCCCTCTCTAATATATCACCTAAAGAGGAAACATAATGTTGTCTTATCCGTCACCTTCGAAATTATTTGCCAACCTTTTCGTTATTTCACTCTGCATGGGTCAAGTAGTAGATGACATTTTCGTGACTAGTATAGGCTTCGTACCCTTGTTTGAACAAAAAATTCAAGGATTTTCAAGGATACATTCAGTGCCGCAAAAAAGAGCCTTGAGTCTGTTTTTTTAGTTCTTCCGCCAACATGAGTAATTTTATCCCGAAGGTCTTTTTGTGTTTGCTTTTTTTCTTTAATTTTGAATTATACTTAAACTATAAGGTTAGCATTGAAATTCAAGGACTTTCCAGCACCGACTGCAATTTTCAAGGACTTTCAAGGCCTTGAATTTTTATTTTAAAATTCAAGGGCTTTCAAAGTGCGTGCGAAATATTATGATAGAAATTCTTTGTTTCGTATCACTCTGCAGGTATTTTTGGACCGCTTTGTCGAGCGTGAAATACAGTCACTGTTGGTCCATTGCATTCATCAAGAAGAAGGATGTGATTGGAAAGACGAGCTTAGAAAACGAGAGGTAACAACTAAACTTCAATATGATGTTTAAAGTGAGTCAAGATCTATACCCACTTTGAGCCCCACTGACAAGAGGGGTCCCAGTGGGGTTAATCTGTAGCCGTGAAACCCTAAAAAGCAGTCACTCGTGAGGCAAAAAAAGCATGTATAATAAAACGTTTTTACCGTACACCTTGTCATGAAAGTGCCAAGATCCCTTTAAAAGATTTTTTGTCTTGTCTTGGGGCTAATGATTCTATTATGGTACTAAACAGACCACCCATCTTAACCATAGGCTTTACTGTGATACCCGTGCTTGTATCAGCTGGATTTTGTACGAAATATGTAGAGATGTAGATGTAATAAACGCGATAAAGTGTTTTTCAATTAGGCCAAAGTAGTTTAGGGCGCACGATTTACTCCGTGTTTTGGCGCAGGAATCTTATCCGCGCGTGTAAGAACATTATCGGAGTAATGAGGCAATCTTCAATTTGGCCAAAGAAGTATAGGGCGCATGATTTAATCCTTGTTTTGGAACAGGAATCTTATCATCGGGGGTCAGAATTATCGAAATAAAGCGATTTCAAATTTGTCCTAGGTAGTATAGTTCTTTTTCAACATGCTAATGAAGTCTCAGCAAATACTGTAAATAACAGAAAACAAAACAAAATTACTTGTAGTCTCGTGCGTCTTTCTTTTGTCGGTAATGGCAACAAAACATTTCCTCTGAGTTCCAGTTAATATTTTTTTCTGGTTTTACAATGATCCTAGCTGGAAAGTTGCCGATTCTACAATACAATTCTTCGCGTATTGTTTTAAATTATCGTTATTATTATCTCGTCCATTATTGTCATAATTGTCAATTACGTGTTCTCGTGTGTTAGGATCACGAAGCTGTGTGTGAGTACGTTCAAGTTCCATGCGTGCATTCAAGATGCGGAGAACTGGTGACTAGATCAAACCTGGTAGAGCATCTTGAGAAGTCGTGTCAATTCAGAATGGAAAAATGTGACCACTGCCAAACTCTTATTGAGTTTGCATTTTTGGAGGTAAGAATAACTCTACTGAAATCGGTTGTTTACCTTTAAGTTGTCCTCATTTGGAACTGGATCCTGAAGTAATTAAAGACTCAACGTACTTTTACACCTTCCTTTACAACAAAAAGTTCTGACGCTCATTGACTCTTTGGAAATTTCTTCATGCCTCTAAGCTCCTTCGGTCTCAAATCGTCAGAAATCGGTGCTAGTAAAAGGTCTCATAAATATAAGATCTTTTAACCTAAATTAATGGTCTCCATTTAAAACCATAATAGCCTGGAGAGTATGCTCATAGCGATCTCTCGCTTGATGACTAATACATAATTCATTGTGCACAGGAACATCAAGAATCTCAGTGTCCCTCCGTCCCTGTGACTTGTACAGAATGTGGGAGAAAGGACATACCTCGTTCTCAGGTGAGTTATGTATGCTCCAAGAAGTTTCCTTCTACCTGGTGTTCTGTTTGTACACAATCCTCGGAATAATGATTCCAGATTTAAATTTGATCTGCAACGGACGCGTAAATGTGTAAACGGGTTCTTAACAGCTAGCTCCTCAACAGTAACACTGGAATAATACGTTTGAGACGTGATGTTGGCTTCTATCTTTCTTACTCAGATGTGTGCCCACATTGATCTGGTAAATGGAGACTGTGAGGAATTACAATCAAGTTGTCCATGGACACAAATTGGATGCCGTGAGACTAAGGTATGCAAATACTTGAGATTACTTTAGTTAGGAGGGGATCGCGCATTAAATGGATCAACGTTGAAAAAACAATTACCCTGATAGTTTTTTGCGTGAATGGTTACCACACTTAAGGAGATGCCACGACTTTGCCTTGCCAGAGGGATATCAGCCTGGTTGTTTGTAAGGAATGGTGTGGGTTGGGTGGGTTTGTGGGGGTTATACGTCAGTGGTAGATCTGATATGCTTTTGTCTACTAGAGTAAACTCATATTGAAGGGTCCTTAGATTGTGCAGGTAAGAGAAGAAAAGAAGTCTCCGGAATGCTCAATACTGAGTCGTGATCGAAGCTAGCTATGACCCACTTTTGGATCCACTTGAAGTTTGACTGCATGCTCCAAGTCAGCAATCACGCGGACATTTCTAGAAGGGCTGCGTGTTTATTAATTAGTTTCTAAGGATTAATACACTATGTCGTTGTCGTTTTTTTCTAAGACTATGAAGCTGCAGGAACGAAAAATGCATGAAGAGGAAAATTCTTCCGGTCACTTGATGCTCCTGTTTCAGACAGTAATGCAGCTTTTCTCGATGGTTGGGAAGACCATGCGGGAGTCTGGTCTCGTGTCAATGAATGGCGTAAATCTACCAAAACAGAAAGATTTGGAACGCTATGCTAAACAAGTTGAGAATACACTGAAAGAGAATGAACAACTCAAATCAAAACTGGCTCAACAAGAAGAAAGAATAAGTCAACTGGAAAGTTCGAGACAGAACAGGTCAAACTCAGCATCGGCATTTGATTTAACGTTTGCCAAGGAGCTCTTACAGAAGATAAATACCGAAGAAGGAAAGACGGCAAATCTCGAGCTTTTGCTTGTTGAAGGAAACAGATTAAATGAAGAACTACAAAGAAAGGTATCTACCGTAGCCAGGCAACAGGAGTCTTCGAATGGAACAACTGATCGGCTACAAAGACAGTTCGAGTCCATGAGTCACTCACTAGCACTGCGTAATGTTATGCTGACAGATTTGGACGAATACGTGAAGCAGCAGGAAGTCTCCAGTCACGATGGAATCTTGCTTTGGAAAATCACTGAGTTCGCTAAAAAACGGCAAGACGCCGTGTCCGGGCATCAGACGTCATTTTACAGCCCTTGCTTCTTTACCAGTCGCTATGGATACAAGATGTGCGCGCGCATCTACTTGAATGGTGATGGTATTGGAAGAGGGACACAGATCTCGGTATTCTTTGTTGTCATGCGAGGTGAATACGATGCGTTACTCCGCTGGCCTTTCAGACAGAAGGTTACGTTCATGCTGCTGGATCAGAATAACGTAGAACACGTGATCGATTCCTTCAGACCTGACCCAAACAGCTCATCCTTCCAGAGACCAAGAAGAGAAACTAACATCGCTAGTGGATGCCCTACATTCTGTCCCTTGTCGGAGTTAAACGATCATGCCTACGTCCGAGACGATACTATGTTTCTGAAGGTCATAGTCGATACGACAGATTTATAACACCGATTTTAGAAGCCTGCTCCAATGTTTCAGATCATCCAAGCATCACTGAACAAAGCGAGAGCGAGAAAAACGGCACGAGACTCAGGATAGAGAAGGCCTAGGCGGGTTAAAGTTGATGCTAACACGGGTTCAAATGAGCAAAACGTCTCAATCTCACTCCAAGGATCCTCTCTTGATAGCACCTTCCCTTAGTTTCGGTTTCAGAAAAAAATGAGCAGGTTTTCAGACTCTTGAGACAGTGAAGCTAGCAGGAGACTGGGGAGGGAAGGACGGGGAACTCGGGCAACAATTAATCTCGATCTGGTATGCATTCTTCTATTTAGGACATTACATGTATACGGATATAATACTGACTTTGTCTATTTTATAGCCGTATAGTCTTACCTGGTTAAGTTCTAACACAGTTAGTTTTTATATATGGGTTATCTCACCATTAGGAGTTTTAAAACTTCATACATAATTTTGTTTAGAAAGAATATTTTTACGAACAAACGAGAACGAAACAAAAAAATTGCTAAAAAGAAGAAACATATATGCAGAAGTTGATAATGACTTGTAATAACCGAATTAATAGTGAACTATGAGACGGTATAGGCAACTTTGGATTTGAAACGAATTGGAGACCTTTTTTGTACAATTTGGAGATTTACATCATGAGTGGACAAACAAATTGAAAGTCATGCTTACAGTGACCTATGGCAGTCGAGTCGTGTATGTTCACCGCGAAAAGTATGTTTATATATTTAATCTGTTAGACTATATATAGAAGGCGTAATTATTAGAGGGGGTTTTACTCCGGGTGCTCCGGTTTCCCCCTGTTAGTTCAAATCATATTTTTATGGAAGTGAGACCGATGAAAAACAAAAGGAAAAAGTTAATTATTTGATATTGAAACTGAACGTGTCCTAGAAAGAAATCAAGAGACTCGATGAACTGAAAAACACAGTAAAACTTGGATGCCAGAGGCATGCAATGGAAACTAAGAACATAGTATTAATCATTATAAAATTATCCCGCGTTTGTGATATCCCGTTTAACAGGATGTAAACAGATCCAACTCACCAGCCCATGTTACAGTCATGTGGTCTCAAATGATATGGCAATTATTTTTCCTCATAGGTAGTGTTATATGTAGAATTTTTAAATAATGTAAATTATGCTATTTCTTTCCAAAAATACTATAGTTAACGTACGGACGAACACCAAGAAATGAAAAAACATGCTGAAGTTGACAGAGACATGTAATATCCCAGCAATGAAATATCAGACAGTATAGGCAACTTCGGAATTTAATCACGATTTAGACGTTTAAGTAATGATCCGGGTAAGTTGGATAGCAATTTCTTTTGGTATGCGGCAACGGTGCTTTCCCCGCATAGGAATGTTCTCATTTTTACACAGAGAATGCATAAATCTACATGAAGGCCGTTTACGCAATAAAATGCATTTACACTCCACTTTGAAAGGCTGTTTTTTTTTTGTGTTAAAAGATGTTGACCAATCACTAGAGTTGAAAAAATAGCCAAGAAAAGTTTACAATTTTGCATGTTCCCCACATACGATTTCTTTGTTCTTCAAACTGAGACCAGATTTTGTTATACGGAAGATGGTTGGAAAGTAGGGATGAATATATGTACTGCTTTATGAAGTTTTGTTAACTTTTGCTGTTTAAGCCAATCAGAAGTAAGTACAGACAATAGAAAAGTTAGCACCTTTTTTGCATCCCAACATGTTCGTTGCTGTTGTTGCTATCGTTCTTATCTGGACCGTTTCTTAACTGGACACACAACGTGTGAAGTCATCATAGCTGCAATGAGTTATGGTAGTCGAATCGTGTATGTTCACCTAGATGAGTTAGTATATTTATTTTATCAATTTAACTTGTAAGTGCTACTTACGTTTGTAATTTAACAAAGTTCAGTAAGTAAAATAGCCTGCGAAGGAGGAGAGAAGCGACGACCGGAAATGCGTCTGTTGTTCGCAGGTTATAAGTAAAACTGCGGGGATGAGAAAAACGACACGAAATGTCACGTTTGAATGGACTTTTGATATAACAAAAACCTTTTCTTAACTGAGAAAGGAATATTGGATAGATGGTAAAATAAACTAATTGTAATTGCGAGATTTTTGTTTTATTAAAACAAGTCATGCGAGGCCGGGTCTAAGTTACTCTGCAATGTAAACGTGACTAACGGATTGAAGAACTTTTTAAAAATTAAAATGATAATTATAGAGAAATACTCTTACTTGCTATACTAGTTCAAAGGTCGTTGTTTTGGCAAAAATAAGATACTAAAATAGACTGTAGGGAAATTTGTCTACAAAAATGGAGAATCAATTTTCACCGTTTTGATTCTCTCAAAAACACTTCAATGATAATTCAATGTGTTATGGCAATATTGTGACCATGACATCATCATATAAGCACTCCCAGCAGATGTTGTACATAGCAGATGTTCAAGTAGAGCAGCTGTTTGTTTAATATGTCACATAAAGTCCGACCGAAATCCTGCCCTGGCATCTGAGCATGATGGCACCAGGAATAAAGGTTGTAGCACATATCAAAAATTTAGGAATAAAATGAAGACATGAAGTAAATATTTTAACGAAGTAAACCAAACTGAAAGACACACTTTCCGAAAACAAAGGTTGACTTGTGAAGAAAATAACTATCTGAGTTTCAGTAAATCTTAGCCGGAAGCTCATTCTGACTAGAAACCAAGAGTTTCATTAACTTGATATTGTTTGAAATCAAAAAAGTTAGCGGATTTAACGGTTTAATCCTACTTTGTTCTTAATACGTACATTATCATTGGAAAATGTATGAAAGGAAATTGAAGAAAAAGAAAATGATAAGAATATATTAGGCACGGTCACTACACTGAGGACGAAAGAATGAAGCAAAAAACACCTTTACAGAGGCCTTTTACGTACTCAACTGTACATGTCCAATTTAATCCACACCTATTTTACCTTTTTCTTTTGTTTTGTTTTTAGACTTTTTGACAACGTTAGTGCAATTAGGTTTATATTGTCACTGGTAAAATACCACAACTGTTTTATTACAATCTTTCTAAAGTAGAAAACAGGAAAGACGTATCGATACAAACACTACTTGCAGTCAAGACATGCTCATACATCCTTCTTTTTATGTTAAGCTGCATGCTGCTCTTCCTCATTAAATATCAGTCCCCAAGAAGAAACTGACGAGAGCCGGCCTTTATTCAAGGTGTTTCGATACAGTTTTTCAGAGGCCAATGACCGATATTTTTCAATCGCCTTAAACGTGTTTTTCTCCTTGTCCGATAGCGATTCACCAATGATTGACTATACATTGAAATTTTTCAAAATGTAGGTTTTAGTAAAATCGATATCGTCTGCATTAATTTGGAAAAATTAAATTAGCATAACGTCAAAACAGTGAATGTTGTAGCACGGATTTTTGACCGGTTCGTAGGATAGGTTTGTCTTGAAATTTCAAGGTGTTGCAGTGAATCAATCTTCATGAAAGTTTCAGACATTATTATGTACATTATGAAGATTATGTTAAGACATTTTTAAAACAGCTCGTTCAAGTCGTTTCAGAGATATACAAAAAAGCGCTTGAAGTCCAAATTTTGAATGAAGTTGCACTTAGACAGGTGGTGAGAAAACGTGTTAGTTTTTAAGATCACAAGAACGAAAATACACCAAAATTAAGCAGCATTCTGACGCTACTTAAGAATAATTTCAGTCATTTACAACGTTTTTATTAAATAATCTATCACGGCTATTGAAAATTTAATATAAAATATATTTTCCTTTTAGTCGAATTCAAACATACAGAATTTTTCACTTCTTTCGGAGGTTATTTGCTAAACACCAAACTTTAAGTTCCTAGTGTTGGGTTTTCAGTAGCTGGTCTAGATGGCGTAGAATTAGGCGTTTATCAATTTCAAAACTTTTTTTTTATTGCTGTCATAGTAATAAATCACTGGTGAAAATATAGCGATCAGACAAGGATAAAATTACTTTTAAAGCGATTGTATAATATCGGTATGGCCTCTGAAAAACTATATCGAAACGCCTTAAAGTCAATCATAAAAAGATTTAATAAATCTTATACTTACTCCGAGACACCGTCGTTCATCATGTTGCACTGGGAGACGTCGACGCTCGAACCGTCTTGGTCTTTCTTCTTCTGCACTGCTCCTTCGATCCGCTTCAAGTTCTCTCTGTCCCCTGTTTAATCTTTGTTGTTCTTCCCTTGTCGTGCTCTCCAAGAGGAAGGCTCTGTGCTCACAGCAGGTTGCTGTAAGAGCCAAGTAAATTTTTAAAAGACAGAGCAGTACGATCAGCATCAGGATAAATAAGGCGGCGCCATAAACGTGCTCCAACACCACTGCTATGTTCCTGGCGGTCAGTAAAGCAGCGGGATGAATAAGATATAAACTTGCTCGAGAAAATTGGCTTGTTTTTATTAGTAATTGAGACACAAAAGTGATTCAAAGGAATCATGCCGTGACTAAGACGTAAACAAAATGCCAAGCCAAGTGCACAATGCCTGCAGCTGAATATATACATGATAATTGGTACTCGACAAAAGCTATCTCGTTGCGAGCAACGTGTTCTTTTGCTGTGGTTGGCAGTTGGAAGACACTTTTTCATGGAATTACAAAACTAGTCCTGCCAGTTAAATATAGCATCTATGCTAGTATTAAACCCATTCTTGAGTGACTGTGTGTCTGTTTGCCGGAAGTTGTAATGCAGGATTATTGAATGAGACATTTTACAGTTCAAAAAAGATGTGCCTGAGACTTTTCTAGCGCGGTTTCCGGTTTCTGTCAAGTCTTTATAGTGACCCGCGCGAAAAGCCTCTGGAGCGTAGCGCTATTGCTTTGATGGCGCCGATCCAATCGTTAGCACGGTTAAATCAGTTGGTCCAGATTTTGGACAAGACGGCTGATTGGCTACTAACGACCACCTGAGGCACTTTGAATCTAACAGAGGCTACAACT